TGAATTCAAAGAGACACAAATAATACCTTTTAGTTCATAATTTATGAATATTAATTTATTTCTGATAAAAAAAAAAAAAAAAAAAACTTTGCACAAAACACATCATTGCGCAGCAACTTCATTGCCATCAACAACTACTGTTACATTTGTATATAAAATATGGGTACACTTGGCGTAAATCCACAGAGTCGTTTATGCACAATGTAAACAGTTGTTTCGGTATCATTGTTAATTCAAAGAGTCACAAAACACCTTAGTTCATAGTGAATGAATAAGTATTCTTATCTTATAAAAACAAAATATTTTTTCACAAAACACAACATTGTGCAGTTATTTTGTAGTCATCGTCAACTACTGTAATTCAAAAAAATGCCTTTCTGTTATATTACTTAAAGGTCGTTCGTATACATATTTCGTTTTGCTCGGGACCGTCGTTTAGAATATCATATTTCTGGTAAATAGGGTCGGGGATGTAGAACAGAATATACCTACTGTTACCCACTTCATGGTCGTAAGTTGCGACTATGTGAAAATCCCCTGCAGAATTGGAGATTTCCGTTTGTGCCCTCGACTTGGGATCTTTATCTTTCTTACTACTTCTAACTATCTTTTTGTTTGCTAGTGCCTTGCTTATCGATATCTCACTTTTGGCTTTGTTGGTAAGGTATCACTATACATTCGGCACATCAATCAGCGATATCGCAAGAATGCAATTGCTTCAACATACCTTGCCTCTACAACACAAACACATACAGGCATGCACACATTACAAACATGAAGACGCGTCCTTAAGTTGCCTTAGATGTTGATAGGACGTAAAACAAAATAACTCAATCTGGATTCCCAAGTTTTACTTTTTTGTTGAATAGCTTTTTGATATAGTTGTATTATTGTGTATGGAGTTCAAGCATGTTAAATCTTATCTTAACGTCACACAGTTGTATTTGTATATCTCTCTTGTAATCAAATCATATCTTAACGTCACACAGTTGTATTTGTAAATCTCTCTTTCAATCTTAACGTCACACAGTTGTATTTGTATATCTCTCTTGTAATATTAACGTCACACAGTTGTATTTGTATATCTCTCTTGTAATCTTAACGTCACGTTGTATTTGTATATCTTTCTTGTAATCCAATCTTGTATATCTCTCTTGTAATCCAATCTTACCTTAACGTCAAACAGTTGTATTTGTACATCTCTCTTGTAATCTTAACGTCACACAGTTGTTTTTGTATATCTCTCTTGTAATCGTAACGTCATACAGTTGTATTTGTATATCTTTCTTGTAATCCAATCTTACCTTAACGTCGCAGTTGTATTTGTATATCTCTCTTGTAATCCAACTAACCTAAACGGCACACAGTGGTATTTGTATATCTCTGTTGTAATCTTAACGTTACACAGTTATATTTGTATATCTCTCTTGTAATCTTAACGTCACGTTGTATTTGTATATCTTTCTTGTAATCCCATCTTACCTTAACGTCACACAGTTGTATTTGTGTATCTCTCTTGTAATCCAATTAACCTTAACGTCATACAGTTATATTTGTTTATCTCTCTTGGAATCCAATCTTCCCTTAACGTCACACAGTTATATTTGTATATCTCTCTTGTAATCCAATATTACCTTAACGTCACACAGTTGTATTTGTTTATCTCTCTTGTAATCTTAACGTCACAAACTTGTATTTGTATATCTCTCTTGTAATTTTAACGTCACTCAGTTGTATTTGTATATATCTCTTGTAATCCAATCTTACCTTACCGTCACACAGTTGTTTTTGTATATCGCTCTTGTAATCGTAACGTCATACAGTTGTATTTGTATATCTCTCTTGTAATCTTAACGTCACGTTGTATTTGTATATCTTTCTTGTAATCCCATCTTACCTTAACGTCACACAGTTGTATTTGTACATCTCTCTTGTAATCTTAAAGTCACTCAGTTGTATTTGTATATCTCTCTTGTAATTTTAACGTCACTCAGTTGTATTTGTATATCTCTCTTGTAATCTTACCGTCATTCGTTTATATTTGTTTATCTCTCTTGTAATCCAACCTTACCTTAACGTCACACAGTTGTATTTGTGTATCTCTCTTGTATTCCAACTAACCTTAACGTCATACAGTTATATTTGTACATCTCTCTTGTAATCTTAACGTCACACAGTTGTTTTTGTATATCTCTCTTGTAGTCGTAACGTCATACAGTTGTATTTGTATATCTTTCCTGTAATCCAATCTTACCTTAACGTCACAGAGTTGTATTTGTGTATCTCTCTTGTAATCTAATCTTACCTTAACGTCACACAGTTATATTTGTACATCTCTCTTGTAATCTTAACATCACACAGTTGTATTTGTGTATCTCTCTTGTAATCCAACTAACCTAAACGGCACACAGTGGTATTTGTATATCTCTGTTGTAATCCAATCTTACCTTAACGTCGCAGTTGTATTTGTATATCTCTCTTGTAATCCTAACGTCACACAGTTGTATTTGTATTTATCTCTTGTGATCTTAACGTCTTACAGTTATATATGTATATCTTTCTTGTAATCCAATCTTACCTTAACGTCGCAGTTGTATTTGTATATCTCTCTTGTAATCTTACCGTCATTCGTTTATATTTGTTTATCTCTCTTGTAATCCAACCTTACCTTAACGTCACACAGTTGTATTTGTTTATCTCTCTTGTAATCCAATCTTACCTAAACGTCACAGAGTTGTATTTGTATATCTTTCTTGTAATCCCATCTTACCTTAACGTCACACAGTTGTTTTTGTATATCTCTCTTGGAATCGTAACGTCATACAGTTGTATTTGTATATCTTTCCTGTAATCCAATCTTACCTTAACGTCGCAGTTGTATTTGTATATCTCTCTTGTAATCTTACCGTCATTCGTTTATATTTGTTTATCTCTCTTGTAATCCAACCTTACCTTAACGTCACACAGTTGTATTTGTGTATCTCTCTTGTAATCCAACTAACCTAAACGGCACACAGTGGTATTTGTATATCTCTCTTGTAATCCAATCTTTCCTTAACGTCACACAGTTGTATTTGTTTATCTCTCTTGTAATCTTAACGTCACACAGTTGTATTTGTATATCTCTCCTGTAATCTTAACGTCACACAGTTGTATTTGTATGTATATCTTTCTTGTAATCCAATCTTACCTTAACGTCACACAGTTGTATTTGTATATCTCTCTTGTAATCCAATCTTACCTTAACGTCACACGGTTATATTTGTTCATCTCTCTTGTAATCTTAACGTCACACAGTTATATTTGTATATCTCTCTTGTAATCCAATCTTACCTTATCGTCACACAGTTATATTTGTATATCTCTCTTGTAATCTTAACGTCATACGGTTATATTTGTTTATCTCTCTTGTAATCCAATATTATCTTAACGTCACACAGTTGTATTTGTATATCTCTGTTGTAATCCAATCTTACCTAAACGTCACACAGTTGTATTTGTATATCTCTCTTGTAATCTTAACGTCACAAAGTTGTATTGGTATATCTTTCTTGTAATCCAATCTTACCTTAACGTCACACAGTTGTATTTGTATATCTCTCTTGTAATCTTAACGTCACACAGTTGTATTTGTATATCTCTCTTGTAATCCAATTTTGATTTTTTTAAGCTATTCATGTCATTTCAGAAGAATATGGTTGTTATAATTTTATTATTCACCATTTTTCCCGGGTTTTTTTAATTCAATTTTTAATTCGATGAACATTAGCATATCTGAAGTGAAAAAGGAAATCCATTTAAAACTGCCCGTCGGAATATTATTTTTAATTAACTTCGATTTGCAGTCTCCTGTTCGTTAAGTTTTTCCAATGTGTTTTACTGACTGGATTATGAAAACATGAATGTTCGTTGTTCGAACAAACTTATGTTGAGGTGTCTCAAAGACCTATTTATCTCCTCGTAAACAGTATGTTTCAATTACAAATTACATATACAACAGGCTTTTAAGACCCCATTGAAATACTTTCCATTACTTCAGAGTATAAAAAGAAACTGTCGAAGTTATAACAATACCTATACAAATAAATATACAAAACCCTACATTTGTGCATGACGATTTGGTATTTTGACAAAAATTACTCTATAAATACCCTTTCTATTTGCATACAGTGATCTAACAAAGGATACCATATATCATAACATATAAAAGCCAACACGCCGATTCGGTATTTTTAACACATTTCTATCGTTGTATTTCAAAGAACTTTTTGAAATAATTACTCTATAATTGCCCTTAATATTTGCAGATGTTACCCGTATACAAATACCTATATAACATAATAAATAAAAGCATACATGCGGCTTCGGTAATTTTTAGCTTTGCAATTCAATGAAAACTTTTTGAAATAATTACCCTATAAATGTTCTTAATATTTGCATATGGTTTTTTTTTGAATACCTATATAACATAATAAATCAAAGCCTACATGCCGATTTAGTATTTTTACCATTTTTTAAGGTTTTGCAATTCGATGTACTTCCTTAAAATAATTACTCTATAAATGCCCCTAATATTTGCATACAGTGACCGGTGTTCAAAAGGTCATGTTAAAGTGACGAATGTGTGTATTGTGAACAGTTAATTGAATAAACGTGGGAGGCTGTCATTTTCTCCATTAACGTTATACCGTGTACTGTGACGTCATTTGAATGTTATTTCTAACATCTGGCTCAAGAATAGTGCTAGTAACCTCAGCAATCTAGTACGACACAGAACACACAATTCAGCGGGTGACAGATGTTACAAGTTTGACCAATGTCTAGTGTCAAGATTGGCTATAGTAACCATCCCGGCCTAGTAATATATCAAACGATCTGTGTCAGTGCGCTAACCATCTGACTTGTTAATGACATTATCATGGCTATTCTATTACCATTAGCCCTACCGTTACATTTAACCTTACATAGGAACATGTATAAAAGGTTCTGACCTCTTCCTATGGTCACTGTTAACCTTGACCACGACAGTCACTGACCACCGACACGGACACATCTCTTTCTGGACAATGATTAAGGCAGTACTTCTACTAGCTGTCATCGGCAGTGCATGTGAGTCTAAGATGATATGAGTATAAAACGTATATTTATAAATATATGTCTGTATATTAGTTTGACAAGATATGGTTTACAAGGGAAAACGATCTTACCATTCTTACATTTGTATATCTAGCATAACCATCAATCTTACGTTATGTTAAACAAACACCATTAACTGCAGTGTGATTTATTTAAAGTAAGTAAAAACTCAATTGCAATTAATGTTATTTTTTTTAAAACATGTATATTTTGTATTACTTTTTACTTTTTGAAAGATTCATCAATTCAATTATTTGAAATGTAAACTTTGATTAAACAAAATGTATATTTATTTAAAAACGATGAAGTTTAGTTTTGACCAAAAACTAATTGAGAGACTATTAATTAAAAAGAAATTAAACCGATATTATAAACAATAATTGATGGTGGAAAAAAAGGAAGCTTTTATGCTAAAACAATTATGATAGATTTTTAAAATATGCTCAAAATAACGTTATTATACTTATTGGCTCTATAACTTAAAGTACATGTTTGAATGATTAAGAGATTTGTGTTTTCGATTTTTTGATAAAGCAAATATTTGAAAACACGAGACCAATAAAAACATGTTAGATTATACATGTTCCACACTAAGATAAGTGAAATGATATTTAAATGTTGAGTTTTGTATTCGTCGCGACTACAATGTATCATTTTATGATGATTTGCACATGATTAATTCTGAGAAAAATACAAGAATGTAACTATTACTATAACAAGTATGCAATTGGGTCGTTCTTAAGTTCAGCTATATGGGAATTAATGGTAGACTCTAAATATGTGGCAGCGTTTTCAAAAAGTATGTATCAACATGTTCCTCATTCTGTATTAAAACGCTCAATCTTTATTCAAAATGCTTATTAAAACGTTTAACGTCAATATGTAACGTTAAATAATACGTATGTGTTTATTTATTCATTTAATTCTTTCGGTGAAGAAACTTGCATGTTCATCTTAAGGAAATTACTTTTGAGAAATTATATTTAGCAATGCTAAGGAATGTACAAGAATACCGAGTAACAAAACAGCACTTAACAAAAAAATCTGAAAATCATAATAAACCTCTCATTTTTGAAACCAGTTTAAAAGTTCGCCATTTTATGGTATATATATATACCTAGTACTTAAAACGTTATAATCTAACACCACTATTATGAACGTCTACGGTAGAAACTAATTAACTATGAAATTATTTATTTCGTTGTAACAAATAACATAATTTATTTAAAACAAAATGAAAGAAACATAATTCTACTATTTATCATTGATTCGTTCCAGTTGCTCAAAGACAGTCTATGGTTTATACGTCATTGCCAGCAGATGGCGCTGCTACCAGCAGTGCCGCTACAGGTTCGGCAGCAGCTGAGCATACTACAGGCCATGCAGGAAGACACCCTATAGGCCATACCGGAAGGCATACTGCTGGTCATGCAGGACGACAATTTGGAAACACAAACATATTCATGCGCATGCTCAACAACCCTATAAGACTTTGCCGGGAGACCGAAAACATGAGAGCCATACCTTGCGCTAGGAATAACGCCTGTAATGTTGTGTCCATGATGGAGTATGGAATGCCCAACATGTTGACATGTAGCCCGATGGGAATTGGATGTTGTGTGAAGGACGTCATATCCCTTCATCTTATCAAACAGTTAAGATGAACAGGTATATTTTATTTTTATACTACAAACACTTACTTTAATAAATAAATGAGAAGATGGTGTGGCTACCAATATGACGTCATATGACGTCTTTAATTCGAATTCATGTTGAGGTCTTAATTGAAAACAATAAAAACAGTTTACGCACCCATAGAATGGTGTATTTGTTCCCCGGTCTCCTTATTAGCTAGCAAATATCTGATATCTTTAATGGTTCACGAGTAGAAACAGTTTTACAAACTAACATCAATTCGCTATAAAAAAAAATATATAAACATGTTTACGTCACAATGGCTCGCGACGGCATTCTTAGTGTTATTGTGATGACATAAATGCACGCTTCAGTTTGTCCTAAAGCTTCCATGATCAGAATGTTATCTAATGACTAACTAGATATAGTTTTTTTATAATGTTTCAATAACTCCAAGCAATATTATAACTCTGAATCAATGTACCTGTTTCGAATCTTAACCCATAGTAGTACTTTTCTTATATAACTGAAAACGTCCACAGGAAGTCTATAGATTTATAATAATAAAAAAAAATAAGATGACAATACTTTCGAAGAATCTGAGACTTCAGCAATAGGAGGCGATTCTCAGTTAACATGGCTTACTAGCTCTTGGTAAATTCAAGTGTGAACATTGAACGCGGTATTTGGTTTAATGTCTCTCTGAAATTCTTCCAAATTATCCACAAAATGATTTTGACAAAGAATACTATGTAATGATTTTAATAAATGTATAACTTTGTCAAGGGAAGAAGACACAGGGCTTAAACCCCGAATAAAATACTATTCAAGTAAAATTATATATCTGTAATATTACATTTAGACTTTCTTTTTCAGATTAGCTGGAAATAAAGGATTGGGCAAAGGTGGCACTGGAATCATAACGTATAAACCCAGACGTCGGGCGAATGCAATGAAATCAAACAATTGTTTTAATTTATTCTTATATTTGTCCCAAACAAAACGATTTATTCCTTTCACTTTGTTAAATATAGACTGACTCTGTTTTGATATCGACTTATTGTCCAACATAAACTGCATTTGTATGACAATTGCAATAACTTATTAATAATCTATTGGATCAAATTAGATATTTGCATTTATTTATGTATGTTATTGTTATGTTCAATACATTATTTCTTGCATTTAATGAAGTCTTGTCTTTTATTAATTTACTGACGTGGATGCATGTACTTGCATCAGAAATCAGATTTATAAATTATCACATTGTGTTTTCAGGAATAGTTGTGAGAACAATGTTCTCATCGCGTGCATTACGATAAAATCGAAAGGCCATCACACCATACTCTCGATGAGAATAAAATGTTCTCACGACAAACACTGAAATACTGAGTGATAAACTGTTTATCATCTATATACTACTACTTAGATATTTTATCCATTCAAAGGATCTCAACTAAATTCTATACCTTTCATCCGACTTGAAGGCCTCAACGTCATCTAGATTCACGGTCGATGACAAAGGTAAAACAATATAAGTTTTACGCGTAGGAATTCCAGGAACCTTCATATTCGTTGCATTGGCTTGGAGTTTCAAGAGATGTATATACATGATAAATAATTAATAATGAGTCAAGCATTCACAACAGTTAATCAATTAGCTGTTCCTTCAAAGAATAAATCATGTATCCAATTTGTCAAAAACGAATTGTGATTTTATAACAGAACTTATTTCCAAGATGATTTGCTATAATTGTGCAACAGATCAAAATATAACTCTAAATGTCAATATACTCGAAGAGAATACATGCGAGAAAACACCTCCGATTTTAGAGGAGGGGTTTATAATAGTTTGTAAAATCGCCAAAAGTATCTATTTTAATCGTCGGTATTTGATGATCATTATTGATTTTACATTATTGGTTTTAGCACTCAATATACACGCGAAACACTCCAGATCAGTTAGATAAATGTCGAATACTGACGACAAAACCTACTTTGAAAACACTTACGAGAGATACGGGTTGATGACATGAACAAGGATTAGGATCGTCATTGTGATCTTATTTGGATCTATTTTATTCTGTTATCCGATATAGATCGTGCATTTTCATGCCGATTTATTTGCCTTGTGTGTTTGTTCACTGCCACTTCTTAAATTGAATGATCACAATTAATATACATTTTTCCTTTTCACTTTACATTTTTTTTAATTTGTAAAATTTACTATATCCCGGCAATTAAAGACAAACTTCTCGTGACGTACTTGTAGTTCAGATCTGTCGAAAGAGCTGAATACTTACGTTTTTAGAAATGATCATCTTTTTATAAAATCCGACAATACATCTGGAACGGTGTTTTTGTTTTGTATCTATATGAATGTTACATACACATATATATGTGTGTATACCTATAATTATCTTTAAATTTGTACTTATTACCATTGTTATCATGTAATTGTAAATGTATGACTTGAGAAGGCAATGACAGGATGTACTTATTTGTCCTTATCCCCTGTTCAATCGTTATTGACAATGACATCTTTAGAAAATCGTTTCTTGCAAACAATGTGATATTACCAAACGATTGTTTCTTCTATTTGCATCAGTTTTAGAGTGCTAAACAAAAATGGCAGAAAATATAATTGTATATTATTGTATGACGCTTTAGATTCGGTTATGTCTTAAAGTCATATAGAGCTTCCCCCACGAGTGATGGCTGCTAATGATGTTTATCTGCATCGAGTTAAGTAAGGTTCAAACATAGAAAGACACATGTGTTACCATTGTCTTTTATTAATTCAAGATAAACAAATGATAGTTAATAAACAGGATAATCAACCATTACGAGATTAGGGACCTTTTTCTCCCACAACGTTCAGATTAGGCCTGAAAACCATATGCTTCTCTTCATTGAAGTTGATATCGTAAATCATTGCTACTATTGTCGTCATAATGGAAAGGCTGGCCAACGTCAAGGCTATTAACCAATAGTGGGTTACCCTAACTGGTTTACTAGCACCTAGCGGATTTACGTTATTATTTGAGAGTGAGAAAACCGTGCGTAGGGACAACATATCCTAACTATGATGTTAAGATTTTTCCGAAACAGTACATGTCACTTATTATTCTAAAACATGTTTGTCTAAGCCATTCACACGTCCTTAAATGTCCTTGGATGTTCAGAGGACCCTTAACCCTATAACACCAGAACCAAGCATTCACCCTCATAGATCTTCTAAAAGGTGTTGCTTTATAGCTTTGTCTGAAATACTGCCTTATATATTCTATGCATTGTATTACAACTACAGTGATGTTATAAGTTATATGAGGTCATTTTCCTTTTCTTCGGGTACACATAATTGTGTATTAACCGAGAGGAAAATCCTTGGTTCTCATATCAAAGTCTGTTATAAACAAGATATGAATTCTAATCCAATTTATTAATTTTAATTTATATATTGTATTCTGCTTGATGCAGAACTATCATCGTTACGTCTATCCTCTATGGTGGCTTATTTTTGCCATTTCGTTATTTCACCGCGAAATAACGAGATTTTAAATTATAGAATGTCGTAGTTTCGTTATATTTGTATCTAAATTGTCGTCATCTCGTCTTTTCGCCTCGGAAAGAAGAAAAGACGATAAAAGTCGAGCGAAAAAACGAAATAATTACGCGATAATTATCGACCTACAACTGTCGTTATTTCCTATCACAAATGTTGTCCTTTCGTCTTTTCGTTATTTCGCGGCAAGGTCACGAGTAATCCTCCTATATTGTCGACAATAATAAGACGGTACAAGTTTATGTTAAGGACCCCCGTACCACCGTCAAAACATGTAACGTCACTTTATTTTCGACATGACAGTACTTTTGATAGATGATTTCTGGAAAGATAAACATACCTTTCGGAACATTATGACAAAACTAAAAAGGTTCACAACAGTGTTCTTGATGTAAAAAAACCAACGCATTTAATTATTTTTTTTACCTGTAAAATATACAATTTCGTCAAATTATTATACGGGTAAATAATACAAATCGCTCACTCAGTCGTAGCTTGACAAAGGGACCAGTCGGTCTTGAAACGTTGCGACACGTTAAAACGTACATTGTTTGTGTAAAAAGTAAAACTTGATATCAAGACAGTTATTGTAATTTTCTATCATAATGTATCGATTAGTATGTGTTATTACAAAAGCTATTTACAAAATGTACCTACCTGTATGCTTTGACCGAAGGGGCATAAGTCATTATGTTGCTGATCCATTCCATTCCGTTTATACATCAAGTATGGAATATACCTCACCGACCTTTTTTGATGATATTTCTCACACAGTACTGTATTCCTGCATGGATTTTAGTTATAACGTTTTGGATATGTTGCTTTAATGACCGGATGTAAGAATTGTGTCGCCAAAGAAATGCAGGGAAGGTAAAACAAGAAAAATGATTTGTAAAGAAATCACAATGTAAATAATACTCATAATGTTACGTGTTGGTCAAATGTTGGTTGTATGCCATGATAAAAGCTAATATAAAAGCGTTGAAGCAACAATGCAAAAACAGGGAATGAGCAAAATATTTAAACAAATGGTTATTATATAGAAGAGTTTCACATCGTCATGATGGGCAGTTAGCAGAGGTGCTGGTTTGTTATTATTTTTTTTTAATCCAGTAAGTGAGTTAGGATTTCTTCTTCTCTCACAACGTCCAAATACTATCTGGAAAAAACATATATGTTTCTTGAAAGTATATGATTCCTGCTTGTAATACTAGCTAATGGCCATTTTTGATCTATATAAGTAAAAGATTAACGCCCTGGATGTTTGCCAAAAGTCGGTAACCAAAACAGTTTACCATCTCCAATAGCGTACTGCCAAGCGTAGGGAGCAACTTACTTGTGCGGAAAAATAATGTTTCAATCAGCTGGAATAGAACTGACGTAACAATGTTATATTGTTACTTATTACTATACAGATATAGGTCATAGTAATTAATGTATACCGGGAAACTTTCGTCCAGTTAAATGTTCACCCTTCGCCGTTTAAATCCATATATACCAAGTGCTTATTTCGCCTATCATAATTCAATACTATGCATATTATATTGTTAACTAATATTCGTTGTGATGATAATTTCGCCCCCATTACGGAAGGCGAATATAGCTAAAACTAAACTGCAGCGACAATACTTTGTTTTAGTTTAATTATATTGTATTTGTATGAAAATTAAAAAGGACTGTGTGTATCCCTTCCTTGTTTTTATTAAATATTTGCTCACAATAATAATTTAATATCAATTTTGGTTAATTACTTATCATTGCAAACATCGTAAAAATTATTCATTAAGTCAAAGTCAACAAATAAATGGATCGTACCATCATTAAAAATATTTCTTATACTCTTAAGTCAATGTCCGATGTGGAAACCCAATATGTCTATATCTGTCAAGCAAATGTTTACACGCGGTGGGCGTGGTGGGAGTACATAACATTAGATAATATAAAGTGGTTTTTAATATGTACAGTAATCTCCCCTTATCATTTCTTTAAGCTGTAGTCCAACTTGGCCGGTATAACTCAGCTCAGATAGTTAGAGAAACAGTATAACAATTTAAGGTCCATGACCCGTGTGCAGGGGTGTGTATCGGAAATATATCTAAGGCAACATTCCTGAAGATTTTCCTCCTGTGATTTTTTCCTTGAAAAGTTGTATTAAAGTTGTCAAAAGTTAATATGAACCAACATTTTTCATTTTTCTTTTTACATTTTGCATGTGAATTTCTCCTTGAATAGTTGAATTACATTGTTTACGGCTTCCCAAAGCCAGCAATTTCGATAGCTATGGGCCTGAGAGTGATGCCCAATCACCACTGATTTCATAACCATAAACAATAGGGGATTAATCCGCCTATTGTCATTTAAGCAAGTGTCAAGTCAGGTCAATGGTCAAGGCTCAGCAGGTTTTTTTTTATTTACCTGACCCTACCTGTTTGTTCCTTAACTACCTGTATTGTTTGTAATGATCAGTGATCATCCCTATCAGAGGGAAGTTGGGCTGTAGGGGGAATAAGGTATATGATGCTATATTTAGATTAGTTTACGGTGTCAATAATTTTCAGAAGTATTGAATTCGAACACTTTACGTTTTTTTTAAATTTATGCTGTATTTTTACACGTAGTTTCAA